CGTACACGGAAGAGAAACCAGGCAGATCAAAAATTGGCTTCAAAAGGTACTATCCACTCTTGAACGTCGTACAAGTCGATAACGAGCACTTCAAGTCATGTCGAATACCAGGTGACTATCCATTCTCGGCAAAACCGCAAGTAATGACGACCTCGACCGACAAGGCACTTTTGACCCTTGAAAGCATCCGCTTCTTCTGCTTCATAGCGAAGACAACCTTTTGGAGCAAACCGGCTCGACCAGGAGGATGTGCCCACGAGAAGAGTGTTGGTAAGTGGGCAGCCACAGGTCAGGATACCAAGGCGTAACCATTTTTGAAAAAAAAACTTACGCTCCGCCTTTATGACCGAGCAATGAGCTAGTCAACTGTTCAAGAGTGACCAGACGACATGGTTTCCAAGTCCTTACCCTGACGGCCCCGGTCTTCCCTCGTTGAGCTCGTCGACAATCCGCAGCACCGTGAAGGTGCCGAAGAAAGCGACGGAAAGTAGCCGGTGCTGCCTGCGCGTGGCTGCCTCGCGCAGGTCCCGGAAGCAGTGCATGAGGCTCGCACGGTTCATGACGGAGGCCTTCGCCAGCTCGGAGGCTTCATCAACGCACAGCGCGATCAAAGGACCAGTCGCCCTGATCCACTGGAAGAGGCTCGCAAAACCCGCAGAGGAATCTGTCGTGTCTGGATGTCGCACCAGCAGCCCCTGAGATTTGTGAACGACATCGTCGATCACATACTTCCAGAATGCTGTTTCAGACTCCTGCGATGACAACAAGCAATCAACTACCGAGTGCTCTGGCAGCTGTGTCTACAGGAGCAGAACAAACAACGAAAGCAGGGCAGCAAACACTAGAGGAGGGCAAGTGCTCACGAAATAACAAGAGCATCCCAGTTGCTACACCACCTCTAGATCTTTCTCAGCGTTCGAAACAAAAACAATTGTGGGGAACCTTGTTGTAGACGTTCAAGTTTGAACTTGAGACCCTGGTGCAGGAGGATCACCTGTCCATGCATCTCCAAACCCCACCCCAGCGTGACTGCAGCTACCCTGACTTCGCTTTTGCCCCTGATCGTGTCTACTATTTTTCCATCGAGCAGGTCCACAATCTCCTGTTTCAGCGTCGTCTTCCCTGCTTTCCTGACATCCGCAATGAGGGGATACTGCCCCTTCTTGATCATCTCAATGACCTGCGGGGCCTCTTCCGACCCTCTAAAGAACCCCTCCCTATCGATCCCATCTTGAAGACTGAAGACCTTCATCCTTCTGCAGGCTCTTTTCGGAGGAGGTTGAAAGGCTGCAGAAAGGAAAATTCTTTCATGAGAACAATCCGACTAAGGATGACAGGAAGGCATGCGCCCTGTCATCACAACCTCCAACCAACTGCTTCAAATTGCAACACAAATTCCCCAAAGTGAACAGCAGATTCTATTTTGCCCCAAAGATAAGGGGTGGACAGACACTGAAGTTATAGTCCTGCATCAAGGCTTGACTGCGTGAAAAAAAAAATGGGCACTACCAGCAAAGACAGCTTCATTGCAAGCGCTTTCTTCGATCAAGATGCCGGCAACAAAACTGCAAGAGCTTAGACCCTTCTCGCACAGTGCAGCCATCCGGAAACGAGCATGAGCTATAAGAGAATGAACCCCTTTGGCAGGAGTGGTCGAAAAGCTTTTGCTTGCTGCTCAGCCAAAAACATCCCCACTGCACAAAAACCCTAGCATCCTCAGAAGAAAGATTGAATTTGCAGAAAATGTCTTGCAGTGAGGCTCCTCGTATCGTCAATATGAAACCTGGCAGAAGGAGAGGCTAAGCATTGCCTTAAAGCAACAGGCTGACATGAATGATGCAACCAGGCAAGTTGAATAACCGACACTCAGCTCAAGAATCATGTAAAGTCAGTCCAGCCTTACAGGTGAAACAACCCGGGAAGCAGAGGGACACTCTCCAACCAGAAACGAACATACTGGAGGGTCGGTGTGGATCACTGCATCTACCATGAACCAGAAAGCTCCAGCACTCTGCCAAACTGCAGGAATGGACGAATGCTATTGCACAGGTCTGACTTTCGTGGGGAGTTCTTTGACTGTTGTCATGGAGAATCAACCGAACTTGTGTCACCATCCTCCTGAACAACCCAGGCAGCAGGTCAAGCGAGGACCGTGAAAGCAGAGAGCCTGAGTTGAACCAGAAGCTTCAGTACAAACACAAAACCTAGCTTCAAGGCAGTCCTCAACACTGGCATCATCAGGCCTATCTTCCACCCTAAACCTCTCTCTAAACTTCATGTTCATGTAGATGTGTGCAAGGAATTCAAGGAGAGGGTGACTTATAGCACCAACTTCTTGGATGCAATGCACATCCTTGAGAGGGCCTACAACCCGGACACTTGTCCCAAGAACTCCACTCAAGACCAACTCACAAAGTTCTCTAATGAAGAAGGAGATGCAACCGAGAGTCGAACAGCAAAGCATGTGACGCCTCTCCACATGCTGGTCGTCAAAGGGGAAACCAACCTGCTGGCTGCAGCCGAGCCTTCTCCTCAAGCAGAAGGTTCCAACTCTGCTGCAGGGAGGCCAGACGCTGCTCCAGAGCCAGACGCAGTGCTGCACCATCGGCTTGTGCCTTGACAACCTTAATCTCGTCCTTCACTTCCGTAATCTCTGCTTCCACTTGCTTGATCTTTAGCTCAACACCCTCGATGGAACTCATCTTCGAACCTCTCCTGCTTTCCTTCGCAGAATGAGATGCTGCCTGTCCGCCTTTTAGAAGTGTAATCAGCCACCCAGGTCCGACCCCAGTGAAGGTCAGGAAGACCCCGACTCTTGAAATGCAAAAGCGGACGGCGCTTTCCCGTTTGGAGTGAGCTCTGCTCCCCCACGCCTTGTTGTGTCTGTTGGCGTCGAGCCTGCATGTGATGCCTTTGGACGGGAATTGTGGCGCTGTGGAGAGAGATGACAGCGCACAGTTGCATCAACCTTGGCTGCGGTCACCCCAGGCTGCCACCTGACAACGGTCTAGCAGTGTTCGGTAATGACGGTCGGAGCGCATATGGGCGCATGGCACATAGCTTATGCGAAATGGACGTGGCCGGGGCGGAGTTGGGTGGGAATGTAAGGTCGCGCCAACTGACACCCGCCATTCGGGGGCGGCGCGAGTGCAAAATCCCACCCAACTCTCTCGGCCGTCCGATGGA